CAAACGTTTATTCAGACCAGCGCTATGACTGAGAGACCTAAACCTTTTTAGAACCTGACGTCGTCAACGCAAGACGACATCGACGTCCGCGCGGGATAGCGGGAGTCAGCACTGTCATCCGCGGGTTTTTCGACGAGGCCGCGGTAGTGTGCAGTCATAAAAAAACTAGAGTTACACCTAGTCTACCTAAAGTAATGTCGCAGCCGCGCGATTCAGGGTTTTAGTGGGTCTAATAGGTGGTTGTGTCGTGTGTGCGGTTGTGATATGTGCGCCGTGTCGTCAGATTGGCTCACTAGCAGCACGGCCGCAAGCAAGGCCGTAGGGTTGTGTGTGGGGCTGCACGGCCGCAAGCAAGGCCGCAGGACCGCAAGCGGGGTCTGCGCGGCCACAGGCAATGAGTGTCTGTAAGGCCGCAGGCAAACGAATCCTGCTAAGTGCCATATGGGGACCTGCTAGGCGGTAGGAGCCCTTCATATAGAAGGGCTGCTCTTTTCTGTATGTGAAAAGGAGCTAGCCCAGTAGGTATTGTTATCAGACTATCACCCGACTGAGACCGGGATGGAATCCAACAAGCCCTACTGGGCGCAGCTCCTTTTGGAGCTGTTGAGTTTTTTTTTAAGAGGCGCGGTCGATCTCGACCGCGTGATCATAAGGATCACACGGCCGAGAATGGCCGCGCGGTGGTAGCATGGCCCCTGCGCAAGGATGACACGCATAAATCGAGAGATAGTCCGAAATTTTTTTTTCCCGAGTCCATCTGGACTCGAACTCGGATCTGCATTTGGACAGTTCGTGGGTGAGCCCACGAACACAGCACGACCGTTGGCATAAGCCAACAGGATTTCTAAAAATAAAATAAAAATTAAAAAAAAAAAAACAAACAAACAAAAACGAACTACGACAGGTGGCGCACTGAGAAGAAAGGGACTTACAGTCCCTGAAAAAACGGCGCCGTCAAGCCGTTTTCATTTTTCTTTTAGTTTTTATTGTTTTTAGATTTATTTTTTTTAGATTCTCTAACTTAGATTTAAGATTTCCTTTCTTAGATTCAGCTTAGATTTTCTTCTTTTATTTCGTTTTTTTTTCTTTTTTTTAAACCCGTTCGTTTTGAACGAACGAGTGGTCTGTGCCAGGACTGTTTCGTCGGGGTTTCGCCGTCTCATCAGGAGGTTGCCTCGACAATCCAGCTTTGCGCCTGAACTTGCCGCTTATAGTGTCTAGGTACAGAAGAGAGAGAGAGAGAGAGAGAGAGAGAGAGAGAGAGAGAGAGAGAGAGAGAGAGACAGACAGACAGACAGAGAAAGAGAGAGAGAGAGAGAGAGAGGACTACCTACCTACCTACCTACCTACCTACGCGACACATCACGTATAGGACGAGCAAAAACGAATGAATCTTTCGTGGGAACGCAGAAGAATACAAGTTATTAACAGTGGCCAAGACCACTGCTATTGCTGCGGCTGCCAGACAACAGTTTCAGGTAAGTTTTTTTTTTTTTTTTTTTTTTTTTTTTTTTTTTTTTTTTTGTTCCCCCCCCGTTCGTGGCCGTTGGAGTACAGCCAGAAAGGAGAGAAACAAGGAAGGACTAAGAAACGGAAAAAAAAAAAAAAAAAAAAAAACGAATGAATCTTCCGTGGAAACGCGGAAGAATACAAGTTATCAACAGTGGCCAAGGCCACTGCTATTGCTGAGGCCGCCAGACAACAGTTTCAGGTAAGTTTTATTTTATTTTGTTTTTTTTTTTGCTTATTGTTGTTTTGATTCCTCCCCGTTCGTGGCCGTCGGAGTACAGCCAGAAAGGAGAGAAACAGGGAAGGACTAAGAAACGGAAAAAACATATATATATAGTAAAAACTGTAAAAAAAAAGAAAAGAAAAAAAAGAAAAAAAAGGGAAGCAAAACAAAAACGAGGCAACTGCCTCGTGAGACCAAAAAGAACAGTTTTTTGACTGTGTGTGAGCATGAAGAACTCCCACTTTGAGTTGGGAAGAACGACTGTGGCCGCGAGATCTGAGATCTCGCGGCTCACAGCGCACGCGTAGGGGAGATGGAAAAAGAAGGGGGAGAGAGAGGGAAACGAGATGGTTGGGAGGAGGAGGACCTACTCCTCCCAACCTGACAACTGTACTCCCCGTTTTCAGGGGAGGGCAGCAGAGGGGAGGAGTAGACTGTTGGCAGAAAACTGCATGCTCCTGGCTCAAATCACGGCCAGGAGCACTGCAGCTGAGAGGGTTGGGTTTTTTTTTTTTCTTCTTTTCTTTTTCTTTTCTTTATTTAGTGTGAGGACACTTGTACTCACGTGGTGTTACCTCTGGTAGAAGCTGCCAGAGGTAACTATCAGGCTGGAAATTGAAGGGCCATAAGGGAAAAAGGCTAAGTACAGCCTTTTCCCCGATGTATCTGCCCTGGAAAAAGGGTCCAGATACATCAAACTGTAAGGGGCTGTAACTTTCCAACCCCTTATCATAAAAATAAAAGAAAAACAATTTTGGAAATGGCAGGAGACCAGCTATCTCGCCAGATTTCGAGATAGCTGGAAAAAATAAAAATAAAAATAAAATGGGGCAGTTAAAGAAACTGCCCCACACTAAGGCTGTGGCTGTGGTGCGGCCACAGTCAGCCCTAGATCTAGGCCAGATCAAGGGCTCTCTGTGAACCCGCGTTTTTGCCTGGGGGCTGGAGTGACGTCCAGCTCCTCTCAGCCAATATAAAAAAGGCAGCTGCCTCCCAACTGCCACACAAAGCATCCGTGCTGCCAGTGTGTGACGAACACACTTGAATGCTGGCTGCTGGAGCTGCTGCCTGAGGCAACGTGAGGAGGAGCTGGAGGACTGCAGAGGAGCACCAGAAGGAGGACTGGGCAGCCATAGCCAAGGCAGGGAGCACTCTGCTCCCCTCCCCTTTGGCTGGTGCTGGTCCCACGGGACAGGCCCAGTGGCACTGTGGTACTACGGCAGGCGGCATAGACTATTACTGCGGTAGTATGAGAGTGCTGCCGAAATTTTGCTGCGGCGGCACTAACTTTTTACTGCGGTAGTGGGGAAATGCTGCCGAAATTCTGCAGCAGCGGCACTGGCTTTTACTGCGGTAGTACTGAAGTGCTGCCGAAATTCTGCAGCGGCAGCACCGACTTTTTCAACGGTGGTGTGAGAGCGCTACCGGATTTTCGAAGCGGCAGTTCATGTTTTATCGGCGGGGGTGCGGTAGCGCTGTTGGAATCTTTTCGACGGTGACTTCGGTTTAACCAGGCGTGGTGTGGGAGCGCTGCAAGAATTTTACGGCGGCGAAGCGAGGTTACAGGCGGTAATATTTCTACATTGAGCGGCAGTTAAACCTTGGTATAGGGGAGATGCCGCTGGAGTGGGGGATCAGAAGTGGCGTGAGTTTTGATGGCGTGGTGACGCGGTGACAGTGAAAATCAGTGGCGGCGATACTTATTGAAAGATAGTGAGGAGGCGTTGTGGCAGGTGGTTGTGGTAAAAGGAGGAGTGTGGATGATTTGTCGACGACTGAAGACCACTGTCACTGACAGAGGAGCATAATTTTTATACGGCTTTTCTTGAGTGGGTCGCTATTATCTTCAGTCCAACTTCACTCAAGGTCAGTCAGTTAAATTGACTCAGTTCTCTTCACACCTAAGTGAACCCACACTTGCTTTGACCTGTTTTACTGAATGTTCATTGGAAAGGGAAAGAAAATGTGTGCGTTTGCGTGTATGACAGGGAGTCTGACAATAGAAAAGGATTGCATAGTGGTCTGTGTGTCGTTGGGTTTTGACTGCAGGTACGGCAGATGGACTGAAATGGATAAGAGTGATGACGGTGAAAGAATGATTGACTTTTTCTCTGTGCTTATGTTCTATTTATAAATAAAAGAAAAAGAAGACGACGAGAAACGAAGTGAGTATAAGAAAGAGAAATTCAACTTGGTTTAGACTTATTCCTGAGGTTACCCATTCTTTCCCGAATAACCCTCTTCCATCTATGTCTGTCAGTCTGAATGATGCTATCTTTCTACGATTCCTCTTTCTTCGTCTAAGTTTATTTTGGCGCTAGGCGGCAAGATTCTACTTGTCTGCCGTGTAGGTGTCTTTCCATTTTTCTAGGAGGCATCTGGGGCGGGGGTTCATTGCCTTAGGGGTCGGCCCTGTTATCGACTCAGAGTGGACCGCCTTGCGGGGGGGTACTATGCTGATTCGGTGGAGACGGCCCGACTTCTGAGATCCGAGTTTTCTACTCGGGCGAGGAGGAGGAGTATCCCAGACCACCTCTTAGGGTAATGGAAAAGGCATCCAAACGAAATAAAATTATTTTCTTGACGCCTTGTGAAAAAGGAAAACTGCCTTAGCAATCCTGTTTAAGTGGTCACCCTAGGTACCACTAACGTATGGAGAGTTGGCGCCACAAGCAGCCCGACTCATGTTTCACTAGCTGAACGGAGTACTTTTAGATACTCCTGACGAGGTTGGTCGTGCCATAAGAAGCACGGGCCAGAAGGAAGACAAATGTTTTAGTGATACTTAGTTTTAACTTAATCACATTTGTCTTCTTTTTCTTTCAGATGGCTATGGGAACCACGGAACTATTCCTTTTCAACAATCGTGATGCGGCAGCAGAGAGAGTTGAATTCCAAAGGCGTGATGGAGTGAGGGTAGAAAGGGTAGGCCGACTTATTTATAATCCGTCAGAATTATATTCTGAGGAGGACGTTCCGCGATTTTGGGGTGGTAGTGCGCAAAGACCCCCCAGACGACTTGTTTTCAGGAGTGATAACGGCCTGGATATTCTTCATTACGAGTTCGCACCGCCATTGCTTGAGCGTCACTTCGTCAATATGAACYTGGTGGTGTTGCAGCCCTATGAAATCAACACACGATTGGACGAAATCCCTGAAATAAGGTTGATGTACGTCCGTTACGTGCTTTGGCTGAACGAGCGACAAGGCCTATTTTTTGGCATATACTACGTGGAGCGGATACGTGCCAATAGGTACGCAATAATAGGGGCTGATGCATTATATGACGATGAATTGGAAAATGAAGCGGAAGAACTCGAGGAGTTTTTACGTAACTGATTTGAATTCGTTCTGATACGCAGATGTCTGGAGCACGACGAGACTTGACGATCCCGAGGTATCTGCTGGTTCGTGATACACACGAGGAGGATTTCATCAGGAGTGCGGCACGACTTTTACGAGTACGGGATGGATCTTCTATCGACTGGCTCGGCTTCATCGGACTGCTTCAAAATAGCGAGGGATTTTTCCCTACTACTCGCGCAGATTTCCGAGCCAACACGGCTCGGACTCCCGACGAGCTTTACGGATATACTTTGTATTTCCACCGCGCGAGTAACCTCCAATGCCTCTCTCAAGTCATTGTGAGKATCAAGATTACCCCGTCCGGTAGAYGTTTCGGYGTCGTCCRGATCCGGGACACAGAGACTCGACATCTGTTTGGACTTAGTCGACCTCTCCGAGTTATAGTTTGGAGACTAGCCTCTCGGATGACCTCCTTCTATAATACTCGGATTGTTAGAATCATGCGATGTGGACGAAGGTCTACTTTGATTTTCGACGGCGACGAGCTGACACGTTTGGATTTATTGGAGACACAGGTGCGTGGCGAGCGAGATATTTACCAGGATTAAACATCGTCTTCTGAAATCTTACTCAGATTTCAGAAAACACTTCGCATGGTCTCTGTCCCGTTGAGGAAACCATATAACTTATGGTTTCACGAGGTAATCTAAAAACAAAAACAAAACACTTTATGTAGTTAGGACCGCCGGATGGATTGTATTCGGATTACCCCGATGATTTCACTATCATGCTTATGCATTGAGGGACAATCGTTCGCATAAAAATAAGCTGGATAAAGTGAAAAGCGAACGTCTGAAAAAGTTGTCAAGCAAAGCAGCGGAAGATGAAATATGTCTGTGTTGCATAACTGGGCGTTAGAGATGGATACTCCATCATTCGTGAAACAGAAAGAGTAATTATTGTCTAGGAGGGCAAAGCGACCAACAAAGTTGTCATTTGCTCATCCAAATGGTTGTATATTGTACGGAAACGTGGTCGAACCGGGAGTTCAAAGAGCGACCAGGAACCAGATCACTTGTTGATCTGCAGGGTATCAGTCATATTTACTTACAGAAGTTATTCATGACAAGTTTTAGTAGTCATGATAGGAAAATAATTTTTAGTTTATTTCTTTAAATTAATAACCTTGGAACGACAATATAAAAGTTCTTTCAGTCATACAGGTCGAAAAACAGACACTTTGGCAGACCAGCTCATCAAGTCAACGATTTGGATTGTGTGATTTTGTTTTTAAGTATGGGRATTTTTKTTGTTTGATTGCTAGGSACTAAGGATCGTTTTCACGTTTGGTTGAGAATRTMCTAGTCGACCGGCGTACACTTCGTACTTGGGAGATCAGCGCCCCGGGGAACGAACGACGCACGGGTTCATTCGGCGTTTAGTCAAACAATTCCTATACCGTAGCGAGACGAGCAAACGCCCTCGGCTGATCTACCTCTGCAATTGCACATAAAAGCCTTCGCACGTGGATCAGTAGCTCGGTAGGGATACGCCCCTAAGGGTGGTGACGGCCCCTTAGGGATGCAAGCTTATGCCCCGCGGGAACCTGTCCTGTCGTAGGGGACCGTGGGATGTATAGCTGGCGCACCCAGCTAGAGCGGCGAAGGAGCGAAGCAACCTCGTCCGTCTCAGCGGTTCACGGAACAGTATGCGTCGTTCCCGAGTTGTCTCTGAAAGATGTGTTTTTAGGTAAACTCCTGCGTGACATGGCCGGGAGGGCCCTCGTTTTCACGCGATGGCCGATGCGCGCGATAGCTGGCGCCGTTGCCGGGAATAACGGTAAACTACCGTAATCCCTAGCGGGACGACACTTGGGTGATTAATGGAGTAAAAAGTTTTTTTTTTTTTTCTTGTTTGACCTCAGAAAAAAGTCAGTCATTTGATCCCAAAATTATAAGATATTATTTATGCAAAAGGATTGACTGATTTTTTATGTTGTTGTTTTTCTTCACTCAAGATGACTAATAACAACGACAATCAGAACGAGAGGAGAAATGACATTCGGGAGCTTGCCAGGATTATTCAGCAGTCCCAGAAGGATCAAATCCCGAAGGTTGACGTTCCATTATTTGATGGAAACAACGCCTCGGGATGGGCAGAAAAGTTCGAGCAATTGGGAAATTGCTGCGAATGGTCGAATGAAAAGATGTTGCGAATGGTGAAGAGATACTGCAAAATCCAGTACAAGGAAGACGTGGAGGAGTTGATACAAGATTCGCTGGACTGGCCAAAATTCAAAAGGAAGCTGCTAGACAAGTACCAGTTGAGTGATCAACTGTTAGACTTGACAGATTTGAGGAAGGTTAGTCGGAAAAGCTTTGGTACAACAAAGCAGTTCCTTACTGAATTCGAGCGGGTGGCAAGGTTAGTTCCTGACCTTCCAGACAAAGATCGTTGCCTCATCTTTCTGGATAATTTCACGGAAGTGGAGCAGCTAAAAGTGATAAAGGGAATGAAAGAACGATATGATTGGCCAAAAATTCGAGAGAATTTATTGGCCGGGAACTTTGATCAGATCCTCTACCGATTGTTGAAACAGCAGAAGGAGAATCGAGAAAGGATACAGTTGGAAACAGATAAGGACAGGGAAGTCTATAAAACCTTATCTGACATGAAGGAAATGATGACAGGCATGAAAGAAAAGCGGTTGAAGCTTCAAGTGATGATCGCTAAGGCGAAAACTGGGAAGAGAAAAGAGAAGGAGCCTGTCACTGAAGAGAGTAGCAGTGAGAGTGAAAGCGAGGAGGAAAGGGAACCCCCTCGTAAGTTGACCAAGGCTGAGAGGAAAGCCTTGAACAAGATACGAGGAGGGCAAGGTACTTCTCGTAAACAAGGAGAAAGCAGCAAGAACGGAGAAAATGGAAGCGGGGAGCAACAGGTTGATCAAGAACAACAAAATCAAGGTCAACAGAATCAACCACAGGGTGGTCGAGGCTGTGGTAGAGGCCGCGGAAATGGAGGCGGACGTGGGAACTGGCAGGAATACATCTGCAAATATTGCGATATGAAGGGACACGTTATTCGTTTCTGCCAGATTCCCGCTAAGGACGAGAAGGACCATATCGTCTTCACAACGATTCGAGGAGAAGTCTTTGACTTTGATGAAAATCTCATCGATCAGAACATTGAAGGAGGAATGAGAAAAGAGGTTTTTCGACGAATGAATCGTCCGCTTCCGGCTACATTCCGGTTAACTTCTCCAGAAGAAGCAAACATTTTTGAATTAGAAGAAACAATGGCTTCTCTGGAGATTGGTGGGTGTGACGAAAAAAAGTTAGAGGAAAGGAAAGAAGACATTACTCATCGGGCGCGATAAGTAACCAGGAAACTGGGCAAATGTCGAGATTCCATTGTTCAATTATGTGTGGACATGGATAAGATTTGGCCGAACCTTCCGAATGTGTTCCTCTTCGGTGGATGGGGAAACGAAGGTCAGGATGGGTCTGCACATGCGGCCACTTCAGCACCTGAAGCAACGTCAATGACTCGACCAATGACGATGTCCAGACCTGTACTCAAGCGAGGGATGCCAACTGTCATGGTGCAGACGAGGAAAGGAAGGAAGACCTCACAATCGCAGGCTGCGCCTGGAGAGAGTTCAAAGGGACCTCAGGAAAAGGAGCCTATTCAGATAGAGGAAGGGGATGACGATGAGGAGGATGAAAGAGGATGAACTACTAGCCAAACAGAGGGCCAAGGAAAGGACTTCAGAAGCAGGGAAAACCCAGGTCGAGGAAGAGGAACCGCGCAAAAAGAAGAATGTGTACTCGATCCCCGTTGAACAAGGAATTGATTTTGAACAGTTGGTGGATCGCATTCTGGAAAGCCAGCGTGATCTGGTTACCCTAAAGGAGATTCTTGCAGTATCGCCAAAGCTTCGCGAAGAATTCAAGCAACGCATGACTCGGAAGAAAGTCATGACAGTTAAGCTGAGTGAGATTATCCCTCCAGAAGCTAACTGGGCACCTCCTGGCACAAAGATGGACTAGCGATGCGTGGCCACAGGCCTCGTAAAGGTTCAAATCGGCCGTGGAGAATTCTCGACTCTCGTAGATGATGGGGCCGAAATGAACATCATGAGGGAGAGGCATGCGATTGAAGCTGGAATACAGATCAATCGCAATGACTTTGGATATTTGATTGGAGTCAGCGGGGCAACACCATTTTGCGGTATGGCTAGTGGCGTGATGGTCACAGTTGGGAAAGTAAAAGCAAGATCGTACTTTTATATATTGCCGAAGGTTGAGCACGAAGTGCTTTTGGGAAGATCCTTTCAATGTCGCACAGAGAGCATAATCTTCAACAAGCATGACGACACCATGTTTGTAGCGTTATGCGATCCGGTTTGCGACTATTATGAAGTGGTAAAATGCGCGAATATCGGACCAGCAAATTCAAGGAACCGGTTGAATCCCGAATCATATACCTTCTTGGAATCTGAGAAGTTGAGGAGGGAGAAAGAGGCAATCGATGAAGAAAAGAATCCTCAGGAATTTTCGTTGACATTGCCTAGTATCTCGCAGGTAGTCGATTTTGCAGCAAGTCATCCTACAATTGATCCGAGTCTGGTACAGGCCCTGATGGAGGCTGTGGTTGACAAGGAAGGTGCAGGAACTATGCATCTTGTTTATCGGTCAAATGAGTCTCGCATGGAGAAATCACTGCCAACAGCGAAGCAAGAGTTTTTTTTACGGGACGGAAGCTCAGCGCTGGCTCCAAGAGGAAGTATAAGAAAGTAGGGGAGAAAGCGCGACCAGTGCCAGTTCTGATCACTCAAGAAAAGGAAGTGTATTACAAGGAAGAACGCGAGTGAATCAGAACATTGAAGGAGAAAGGTGAGAGGGGACCGTGTCGGTTGACAGAAGACAGGATCAAAAAGATTATCATTGCAGAGGATGACCTCCTCACCAAGGAGGAAACTCAATTCTTTATCGACGTTATGAGGAAAATTCATCTGGCTTATGCTTTTGATGATGATGAGCGTGGAAGGTTGGACGTCGATATGATTCCAATGATCCGTATTCATACGGTACCTCATGAGCCATGGAATGTGAGAGGTCCACGATATCCGAATCCAGACGATCACCGGAAGGTGGTGGATTATCTTGATGGTAAGATTCGGACCAAAGTGGCAGACTATTCGTATGGGCCGTATGCATCCCCTTGGTTCTGCTTCATCAAGCCGAACGGTGTTTTACGATGGGTTCAGGATCTGCAGAAATTGAATTTTGTAACAGTCCGAGATGCAGGTGAACTTCCGAACGCCGACCAACTCTCAGAATCTTGTGCAGGCTGGCCCATCATCACCTTAATTGATTTATATTCAGGGTATGATCAGTTTCCGCTGTACACAACGGATCAACCTATGACGGCGATGCACACGACTCGGGGACTGCTTCATATGTGCGCGGCTCCACAGGGTTGGACGAATGTCGTGGCAATTGTGCAGAGATATATGATGAGAGTCATGCAGCCCCTTTGTGCGGACGTGACTTCTCCATATATCGATGATTTGGCTATCCCAGGACCTCGAGTCAAGGACGAGACTGAAGTGTTACCCGGCGTTCGAAAGTTCGTATGAGAACACATCAGTAATGTGAAAAAGGTTCTGAGGAAACTGAATGAATATAACCTCACTGCTAGCGGGGTTAAATCAAGGCATGGTATGAGGAAGGCGGTAATACTTGGTTTCCTTTGTGATGAGAAGGGTCGTCGGCCAGATATGAAGAAGACGAATAAGATCTTGGAATGACCGACTCCCTTCAGATCTATTACCGACATTCGGAGTTTCCTCGGGACATGCGGATTTTGGAGTATTTTTATCCGCAGATTCGCAGCAAGGGTGGAACACTTGCGGAAGTTAGTACGCAAGAACCAAGTCTAGGAGTGGGGACCGAAGCAGCAGGCAGCCGTTGAGGATATTAAAGCTGAGTTTCGAGAAGACGGCCTGATTCTGGGAGTTCCTTGGTTTGACGATGCTGAAGGCCGTCCTTTCATCATCGAGACCGATGCAGGTCCTCCCGCTTTGGGAGGAGTTTTGGTCCAAAAAGATGGAGAAGGACGGGAACGGCCATTGAGGTTCGAGAGCAGAACTTTGAATATTACTGAGCGGAACCACTCCCAGTTCAAGAAGGAAACTCTCGCTGTGCTTCACTGTCTGCGCATTTTTAGGATTATGTATTTGGTAGACGGTTCATTCTGCGAGTTGATCCTACGGCTCTGGCTCAATCATTGAAGAACTATTCTCCTTCTGATCGAACCATTGCTCGATGGCTGATGTATATTTGGATGTTCAATTTTGAAATTGGGCGCATCTCAGACACTCAGAATCGAGCAGATGGATTGAGTCGTGTTGATTAGGACTCATCGACGAATCAGACTGAGAATTCAGTTCCTGTGGATGGATTCCTCAAAGGAGAAGAGTCACAGTTGAGTATTAACTCATACAATTATTTGGCGGATGCAACAACTCGGCATGAGAAAATCATCTGGAATGCTCCTTGTTTCTATCATGTGTGATCAGAGCTTGTGATTAGGGAGCCGTTCATCGAGGAAGATCCATGGGGTGAAAGAACATCTGAGCAAATTATGAACTTGGCTTTATCTGACGAAGTCGAGCTCATCAAAGAGCCGCTGACAATTGAATATGGGCATGAGCAGGCTGATAAGACTTTCAGGGTCACTGGAGAGATGTCATTCCTTGTGAATTCTCTAATTCACGAAGACCGCATGAAATTGATGAATGAAGGCAGTGAGATCAGAGAGGCTTTCAGGGAAGGAGAATATGATGGGGAGTACAGATTGATGGGAATGTGATTGAATGGTGAGTTGAGGGATAATGAGGTGGATTTAGCTATTCGTCAGAAAAACAAGGATTTTGTTGTAAGATATGGTCATCTTTTCAAGAAATCCAACGATGATATTCCGAGGAGAGTGGTATGTGGAGTTACGCGACAACTTGATGTGATTCCAGCTTTGCATGATGGGGTCGCAGGCGGACATAGATCGGCGCGAGTTACTTTAAAAAAAAATCAACATCTTTATTTTTGGGAAGGAATGAACAAGATGGTGAATGAATTCTGTAACTTTTGTTTTTCATGCCAAAAACGATATAATCTGCGTTTTGTTGAACCTCTTAATCCACGTTATGTAGTTGAGCCGGGAGCAGTAGTACACCTGGATCTATTGGTCATGCCACCTGGGATTAATAAGTACATATATATATATTCAATGCAAGGGATAATCTGACTGGGTTCGTTGATGGATGCGCCATTCGCGAGCGTACTGGTCATGTTTTAGCATAATGCATTGAGGAATATTATCTTCGGTACCCATTTGTCCGGGAAATCGTCATGGATCGGGGTGGTGAGTTTCGGGCTGGGGAAGTGCAGGCGCTTTTGAAGAAACTTGGAGTAAGCTTCAACTATACTACAAGGGCACATCCTCAGGCCAATGCGCCAGTTGAGCGTGGACATGCCACTCTGACAAATTTATTGGCAAAATGGTGCGGAGACGATCCTTCAAGATGACCGATATATCTGAGAACGACGTTCTTTGTTGAGAATGTCACCATAAAGCGGACAACTGGATACGCTCCGGTCACATTGTGGTTTGGGCGTCATGCAACTTTTCCGATCGAAAGTTTTCTTACCACTTGGAGAAAACAGGATATGGAAACAAAGCTTTCAACGGAAGAATTGTTGGAATTAAGAGCAAGACAAGTGATGATCACTGAGGAAAGAATTGAGGAGGTCGCTGCCTCTACTGCAGAAAGCAGGCAGGCCGACAAGGAAGGATGGGATAAGGGGCCTCGCGTTCGTAAGGAACCATTGGAAGTCGGGGATATTGTGCTTCTTTATGACTCGTCCTTGGAAAAACAATGGTCTCGAAAATTGGACAGCCGATGGTTGGGGCCCTATCGTATTATCAAAAAGTATGAGCATGGGGCTTATGAGATCGAAGAGATGGATGGGGCTCAAGGTAGAAATTGGGTGTCGGGATCGCATTTGAGACAGTTTATTCCAAGGACTTAATAAAAACGGTTTTTATTAGTATAAGTTTCTCTTTCTTTTTCAAGACTCGCTTTTCCTCCTTTATTTCTTTTGGGATCACTTAATGCTGACTGGTTCTGATGACAGACAAGGAAATTATAACTTTGGATTCTTGGGATTTGATTTTAATTCTGGGACCTATGGTTCCATGTTTTTGTATAATTAACAAATTATGCGACTCCTGTTCGTGGAATTATGTTGTGATTTTGGATCAAAAAATTGTTGCTTCCTAAATTTGAATGATTTCTTGTTACTTTTTCAATGAAATATGATGCAATGCAAATTTATGAATATTTTTGGACTGGAATGTATGGAACTCTCTGTGGAAATGTATATTGTTATTTGATGTATATTCTTGTTGTAAAAAGTTCTAGGAAGATGATATGTAATTTGTATTATATGGCTTGAAGGATAACTCCGTGTGTTATTCGCTAAGGCATGTACTGCATTTATTTATCATAGCCTAGAACTTTCGTAATGTTTTTTTTAGTTATCATGTTATGATGAGTCCTGATGCAGTGAGCTCTATAGGTGGTAGTGAGGCCTACGCCGGAACTTGTTCCTGGTCCATAGTGGAATGCTGTCACTTTTCTTTTTTTTTAAGGAGAGTGGCTACACTATCATTGAAAGGGAGGAAGGTATTGTTGTGATTGTCGGGATCTAGCTTGAGGGTGACGACTGCCGCTCATCATAGGGACAGGAGTGGTCACCTTGGCCTTGTGACGAATGGGGTCGCCTCTGTGACTGCAAAAAGGTGAAAACCGTTTCAGATGGGGGTATATTTATCATCTCAAGTGTTCTCAACGTGTGTTCAATGATTCTTGCCAGATTCAGGAACAATAAAGAATCAGAATGCAAGCGGCGAGTAGAAGAAGCAGAGGAGAGAATGGATGGACATCCAATATCAATGTTGGCCTGGGCAGCAAAGAGGGAGAAGCGGATGACAGAATGGGATAACCTGCAGGCAGAAAAGGAAAGATGATGGGCAGACCTACTCAAGGAGAAAAGAATAGAAACGAGTGACAAGATGAGCAA